CGCTGAATAGCAATCCATATTGACGGTTAGACACAAAGGTCAATCTCCAACCTGAACCAACATCTTTTAACAACTGACTTAAAAATCACATCCCATTATCTTGATTTTCAACGTCAACAATCGCAAAAGTCGAAGGAAACAGGCTTGAAAACAAAATAACATGAAATTGCAAAAATTTGCAAATTCACAATACAATAACAGAAACCAAAATCCACCAACTACTAAAACACACTGACAAACCAAAACTATACTAACTGCAAATAAATACATACATTGATTATCATCATTTGATGTTACTGCAAGAAAATGTCCCCTGTAACGCCCCTTCAAGAATGTACCATCAACAAACAACAACAGACGACAAAATTGAAAGCCATACAAACATCCATGAAATCCCACAAACAACCTCCGAAAACACCCACTACTTTCATCCACATCTAATTCAAACACACTTCCCGGATTTGTTCTTATACCCGTCTCAAGGTACCATCGAAGTTGGTCAAAAGAAGATGCAAAATCACCAAACAACCCACCTCTTTCCTTATCAACTGCTAACCATGGAACCCGATAAGAAACATCTATACCATATTCTTTCTTCAACTTTTTTTTTTTAAACTTCAATAGGACGAGTCAGCAGATTATCACTAATATCATTATGCACAATATCAGACACAAGTTTAGAACTAACCATTTTGCTACAAGATCTACGAGCAACAACCCCACAAGTATGCACATTATCTAACTTCATAATAAAAAAAATACCGAAAATCATCAACACTCTTCTATGCACAAACCATTTATAACTCGTAGACGACTTTATCATACATTCAGCAGTTACTCTTGTTGCATTGTTCTTCAAATAATTCACTGCAAAACCACACTCAACTGCATACTTAGCCAATGCAATGTGGAACGCCAACACTCCACCTTCAAATTTTTGACCAACACTGTGTATAATCCCTTCCAACTAACAGCCAACAAAACTTTCTCTGGTTCTGGATAAAAACTAGGCAACAAACCACCAAAATCATCACAATCGTTAATCAAAGAACTCTCACAAATTATAGAATTAATCCTAGAAGAATTATCATCAACCTCCACAATTCTCCTATCACCCACAACAACATCAACAACATGAGAACCACTACAACTTACCATTGATATCATATTCCCCAAATCATCATCACATTCAACAATACAATTAGAATATCCAGGAATAGAGAAAAACAAACAAAAGTTACCAACACTCAACTCCTTGAACTTCGCAGATATTTTCTTAACAACTTCATAATAACTACATCCCTCACTAATCTTAATAGCAGCACATGACTTACTGTATTTGCACATTACCAAGAAACACCCTCTCCGTACTACAAAATCACAAACTAACAAACAGTTGTTCACAGATTCCAAACTGCAAAATTATACAGTTACAACATATCAGTATCAACACTTCACAATTCACAATTCCAAACTGTAAAATTATACAATTACAACATATCAGTATCAAAACATCAGAATTCATAATTCCAAACTACAATTTCAAAACACATTACACTATACAACAAACAAAATCAATAAAATCAAAATCATTACACTATATCACATACAAAAATCACAAAATAAGCATCAGAAAACAAAGTTTATCACAAAGCAAAGAACTATAACAACATTGCCAAACACAAACCAAAGATTACGCAAATTTGCTTATCTATATATACATATACATATATGTATCGACAGAGACAGAGAGAGAGAGAGGATCCACCTTACAGCACAACGAGATCAACCTCACAACACAAAGAGATCGGTATCACAGAGAGAGATCGAGATCGCAGACAACCTCACATAGGCGAATATTTGATTTTTCATGTATATATATATATATCAAATCAAAGGGTAATATAGTCATTTAAAAAATAAGAAAATAAAAAACGAGACCTCCAGGTACAAAACTTAAAAAACTGTGGACCTATTAGTGTATTAAAAATATAGTGGGATTAGAAGGGAAATAGATTCCCTACATAGGACTATATAGTAATTTTCCCCTATAAGAACTACAACTTGTTTGGTTCTAGTTTTCAGAAAATTTTACTTTTTTATTTTCATATTTTAATATTTTTAATGAATTTTTTAATATTTTAAGAAATTTTTTTTAAAAAAAATTTAGATACACTTAACATAAACACACTTAAAAAGTATAATATTTGTGACAAAAAAAATCTTTAAAAAAATACACTAAACCAAAAAATATGAAAATTTAGTACATTTTCGTATTTTTGTGTATTTATTAATTTTTAAAAATATTTTTTCACAAATATTTTACTATTTAGATACATCTAAGTAAAATGTATCCAAAAAAGTAAAAAAATTACTTAAAATTTAAAAAATATTCATTAGGCCTCGTTTGGGAGCAGACTAATTTTGTAACTTTTTGGTTATTTGGCTAAAATATGAGCTAAAAAAAACTAGTATGTTTGGAATGACTTTTTGACTTTTTATGAAAAGATATGCAAAACGTAGAAAGAAGAGAGAATCTTTGACTTTTTGGTATGAATTGTTGGCTTTTTTAATTTTTTTAGTGACTTTTTGACTTTTTGGCTAAAAAAGTCACTTGCCAAACGAGATCTAAAAACAAAAAAAACAAAAAACAAAAAAACCTTAGTTTTCAAAAAATTGGATTCAGAAAACTGAAACCAAGTACACTGAATAATATTTTGGGCCCTTAAATTTTGATAAATTTTGGGGACCCAAGGTGGCTACCTTGCTCACCTTGGGTCAGGGCCAGGCTTGAGTAAGGTATTACTTACATACTTTTGAAATTTTAAATTACTGATATTTATTTTTATAAATTGTGTAAAGTATTGATAACTTTTACAATTTCGTTAAACTACTGATCAATCAAGGAACACTATAAATGTTCAAAATTCATCTTGAAGCCAACCACAGGTTAGCTATTGTTCTAAGTTATTTATTTATTTATTATTTTTTTATAAATTGTGTAATAAATTGATAAATTCTACAACCTTTTTAGATTGTTGGTCAATTAAGCAAAACTACAAATGTTCAAAATTCATCTTCAAGACAATCATAGGTTAGCTATTGTTTGATTTTATTTATTTATTTATGTATTTTTATGAATTGCGTAATGTATTGATGAATTTTACAACTTCTTTAGATTATTAGTCAATCAAGCAATATTATAAATGTTCAAAATTCGTCTTTAAGTCAACCATATGTTAGCTATTGTTTGATTTTATTTATTTATTTATGTATTTTTATGAATTGTGTAATGTATTGATAAATTTTACAACTTATTTAGATTATTAGTCAATCAAGCAATATTATAAATGTTCAAAATTCATCTTTAAGCCAACCACATGTTAGCTCTTATTTTATGTTATTTGTTTATTTTTTAGACTACATTGTATTAGTGTATTTACTTTTCACGGTGTTTTATGGACTAGGATGTTGGGAGTCCTTATTGGCCATAATTGATAAATTATGGATATACCAAAAAGTAGCCAAAAAATTTAAAAGTCACTAAAAAAATCGAAAAGCCAACAACTTATACTAAAAAATCAAAGATTCCTTTTTCTTTCTACTTTTTGTACATTTTTAGTAGAAAATCAAAAAATCATTCCAAACATACTAGTTTTTTTTTTATATCATATTTTAACCAAAAAGTTAAAAAGTTATTAAAAAAACATGTTCCCAAATGATCACAACCTTTGTCTTCCCAAGTAATATATATTTGTAATGTAATTTATTCCATTTTTTTTTTCTTCAGGGAATATCACTTAATCTAGCGGGCGACATCTAATGGTGACCGAACCCTTCTTCCGAAATGAGAGTTCTTTTGATTTTTTTATTTATTCCCAACCGTCTCCACAAAATTGACATGAAGATCCACTTTTTAGTTTTTGCTTTGAAATTAAAAGTTTTTAGAATTTTGTTTGGATGATTTAGAATGGTTGAGATAGGTTTTGGGGTATTTGGAAGGACATTTTTTAAGTTTGGATGCCTTAGAATTTTGTTTTGTTTTGTTTTGGTTTTTTTTTTTTTTGGTGTTTTTTTGTATTTTTTTTTAACGGATGTTGGATGTGAATTAAATATATTTTGGCCTTAACTTGGTTTTTATGTATTATTTTTTTTACATTTTTTTTTTGAAGTTACATTATATTTTTTTTTTGGGCTTTTGGTTTGATAAATTGATTTGTTCAATTTCATTTTTTTCCCCCCTTTCAATTTCACTTTGATGCATTTAAGCGAGTTTTGAAGTAGTCAAAACATGTATGGTTTATTTGATTTTAGTTTCAAAATTAATCTTTTAAAAAAAATACAATTTAGTTTGACAAAAATAAACACTAAAAAATTTTAAAAATTTTAAAAATTATTCACTTTTGAAAAATATATAATTGTATGAAAATAATGAGTGTTATTACTTTATTATTAATTTTTACTAATTAAATCTATTTTAAAATCATTTGAATTGTTTGCTTCAAAAAGACGTAATTTAACTATTGCTTCTTCTCCTAATATGAAATTATCAATGATCTCCATAATATGAAAAAGTAAAATGGGTTACAAAGTCTAAGTCAGCTCCTTGTGTCTTAAGCATACCATGGTACCCCTTCACCCTACCGAAATTAATGTGACTCTAAAAAAAAAAAAAACCAAAAAACAAAAAATAAAAGAAAATACAAAAATAAAAAAAGGGTACCGTTTCAATAGCACGGCAGACACAGCCGTGAGGGCATCACCGCAACCCTCGTCCAATATTTGGAGGATTCATCAAAATAACTAATTGAGAAAAGTTAGATATGATAAAAAAAATTTCATAAAAATGATTATGAAAGATTTATGATATTTTAATTATCTTGATTAGTGTGTGGTGTTTTATTCTAACTGTAATCTAAGAGTTACAAAACTTTCATGATTCTTTTCATAAATTTTTTTTCATAATACCAAGCATTGCTCTAACTAATTTAAAAAACTTATTTAACAAGGCAAATCAAACACTAGTAATTTATTGAAGTGGGACAGGCAAATCATACACTAGAAATTTAACAACAATGTAATCTATCTGTGAAATGACTAATTCAAAAAAAAAAAAAAAAAAAACACTTAACAACGAGCAAATCACACACTCGTTATTTATTGAAGTGCGAAGGTAAAACCCAAAGCAATGGGCTACATTGTAAATTAAAGATGGATGGCGAAGGAATTAAAGGACGGATGCAAGCATTGAATTACGGACGGCCGGCTTTATTATGTTGTAATGGATTTGAGAGACTGGCTGCTTTTGGCAAACAACGAAAAAAAAAAAAACCTCCTTTCGTTTTTGAATTTTTTTTTTCTTCAGTGATTTTTTTTTTTTTTTTTTTTTTTTTTTTTTTTATAAAAATTATGTCAAAAACGTTTTATTTTTTTGATCCACCTTGTCAAGACGAATTTAAAACATATATTTTTTGAAAAATTCCAAAAAATAATTGAAAAAACCAAAAAGAGCCAAAAAAGACTGAATGGCCGTCTGAATATAGTGGCTAAGAGTTCCAACCATGGGAGGAATGGGCTCGGGCTCGGGCTCGGGCTCGGGCTCGGGTTCATGCTTCTCATCCTCGTCCACAGAGGGCAGTGGCTTGCTGGGATCCTCGTCAAATGACATGGCTTGCTCAAGGTATGCGTCCATACGCGGAGTGGCAAATAAGCGCAGCTCTTTCGGATCATCACCTCTTGCAGCGAAACGCTGGCGATTATGGGAAGTCTCAGAAGAGAGTGCAAAAGGACGCCCTTGCTTTTCGTAGATTTCCTGTGTTTTCATCAACCTCGACATCTGTTGCAGCTCAGATTTCAGCATCTCAATCAACGGGTTAGACTCATCATTAACCACGTTCTCCAGCAAGCTTTGGGCTTCAGCAAGCTTCTTAAGAGCACCGTCCAGCTTCTTGTCGTCAGCCATGACTCTTGATTCTTTTATCATCTGTGCAGTCCGGAGACGGTTCTCCTCCATCATCACCTCCTCTCTCTCTGGCTCCACGGATGTCCTGCCGGTGCGGCTTACAGTAAGGATTATCGGACTGGCATCAAACAATTTCCCACCAGTGCTGCACGCGCGTTATATGCATACACATATCCATTATATTTGTCAGATCGATCATCAAGTCAAATTAAAACATAATTTATTCTACTAGCTAGTAAATGCAGGGATTTGATAATATTGGTACCACATCACCTGTATGTGTAAGTGATTTCGAGGACATCCGAGCCCGTCGGACTACTAGCAGCAGGGAGAAGAAGGTCCACTATGACCTTGCGCACCTCTTTGTTGTAAAGATCGCCAAATGAAACAGTCACAGGGCTGGCATCATCGTCCTTGGATTGTGGATAGTTTCCGGCAGACACCTTAACGATTGTGGATTCAACTTTTGTGACAGTGAGCTTCAGATCCTGAACAACCACGGTGAGAAGCCCAGCCAAACACTGGGAAAATGCAATACTCAAGTTGTTCTGGTTTCGAACTTCTGAGAACGTTCCTCCCATGCTGTGGTTTGCGATGGCATTGAGCACCTATATCAAAGGAGTACACGTACGGGAATTACTAAAGTTATACTACTACAGCTTTGCAATTTTTTTTTAGAAAAATGCTAACCATCCCTCCATAATTCAAGAAATTATTCAATATTCTTTGAATACTACGTGTTTATACTCCTTAACCAATTATTATTTAATATTCCCTTTTTTATTTCTCAATCATCCAACACAATATCCCACCTATCTACCTTTTCCACCAATCATAATCTTATGGTACCACGTGTCCATTCTCTGCGATTATTAAATAATTACCTATAAAATTAGTATGAATGAAATTGTTTTTTTCAATACAACTTACCCTCGGATCGTGGTCTGCGCCAAAACCAAATGTGTATACGGGCACATTGCCGACTGGAACTTGGGCAGCATCATCACCTTGGTTTGGCTGACCGTCGGACATAAGCATAATGCCCACCACACGCCCACTAGTATGTCTGCGGTCATTGAGCACTTTTAAGCCCGTTTGAAGGCCAGCAGAAATGTTTGTCCCACCATTAGCAACTAAAGCATTGACCAGTTTTTCAATCTCCGCTTGAGAATTTTCAGTTATCTGCCTCAATGGGCACAATCTCTTGGAGCCCCCGCTAAATGTGACAATTGACAAACGATCAATCGGGCTAAGTTTCTTGATCATGAATAGCATGGCAATTTTCATTTTTTCTAACTTCTCTCCGTCCATGCTACCACTGACATCTAAGACCGTCACAAGATCCACTCCGGATCTGTCATTGCCGGATCCTGCCCCCATGAGCTCCAGCATCACCTTGAATTCGCTTTGTTCCAGTGGTGCCGTCGCCTTGTTGATGATTTTCGCCTTTGTTTTTCCTGCCAAGAATGTTGCAGGTTTTTCCCCTGAAATATACCATCATCCCAAAACTCAAATTAACAATCAACAAAACATTCTAGTATGCTACAGGAGTATATACAGCCGATATGGTGCAGAAAGTGTTGGAAATGAACTTGCTACACATGATACATTGTGCAGAAGCATGGCAGCTTCAAAGGAGCTCCCATGGTCAAAGGGTCAAAGACTTAGACATGAAGAAGAAAAAGACCCCAGCCATGATTTACAGATAGCTCCAGCCATGCTTTCACACTGGTAAGAGCTTCTGTAAATAGCTCAATTACTAGCTTAGATTTATATAAGCTGATAGAGGGAAAATCTTAGACATTGAGAGATTTGACAGAGGATGAATACTCTGTTTCTTGTAAGCTTTGAGTGAGATATATCAATACAATTGTGTGGCTTTTCTTTGTAAATTCATAGAGTATAAATGGAGAAACGAAGAAAACATAAACCTGAGACATCTTGGCTTGCAACAATCGGCTCATCATCGTTGAAGCTCATTTTGCCAAGAAAACGGATACACCAATTGAATTTGCTAAACTTTCCTTACTCCCATCTCACCACTTTCAACCTCAAATAAATATAGAGAGGATACAATTATCAAAGAAGACTTTCTTGTAGTCTTTTTTTATGTTTTATCTTAAGGCCTGGATATGACAGCTCAGGTTTTTTTTTTAATTATTATTTTTTTATTTGTTACATAGGGAAGAAGGGAATCTCCATTGACTTGAAGTGAGCAAACACTTTCTTTTAGTCGTTTATTTTAGAATATGACAGCTCAACTTGTTTTGTTTTGTTTTGTTTTTCTTTTTTATTTATTTTTTCTTCTTTTGCATAGGGAAGGTTGTATTGAAGGGAGCAATACTACAATCGGGTATACACCAAGTAAAGCACAAATTTTTTTATTTTTATTTATTTTTGCATTGCGCACTCTATTCTCTACAAACTGTTATTTATTTTTTGCTTATATCCTTTTTTGTTTATGCAAAATTTCACCTTAAAATGACGTAATAGTGTCATTTGTAATGAAAAAAACAAATGTCAATAGACTCTTTATTATAAAGTGATAGATCAAAATCTAACCAAATCATTTTCAATAATCTTATTATATTGAGTGTTACATTGGAGTGTCACGTTTGAGGTACACTAGGAAGTTTTTTATGAAGTGTTACCACTACAAAAAATTAAGATTTTAAAGGCCAAAATTTATGGACAAAATTATTTTTATAGGGACCAAATATTGTTGTTGCGAAAAGTGTCATTATTACATTTTTAGTTACGAAAATTAGACATTAGTGATGAATTATTATCTTTTTGGGACCAATTTTTTTGTCTAAAAAAATAAACCATTGTGAGACCAAATTATTGTGTCCCTAAAAGTCTATTTATTTATGACATTTTAAAAATTTTGTCGCTAAAAACCTTGTTTTTGACTTTTCGGGACGACCTTTTAGCGACTATCTTTATGACGATAGAAATTGGTTCCTAAATATCTTTTACAACAAAATTTTCATTTTTTAGTCTCTAAAATTCCTATATGTTGTAGTGTATGAAAAAAATTTCACATTTTGGCTATTTATGTAATTTACATTACAATGGGACCTTTGGATTTATAAGAAAAAAGGAAGGACGAAACAGTTCATAAGATCATTGTTTGAGATTTATTAGTGCTGCACCTTAATCTTATATTTTTTTTGTTTTTTTAAAAATTATTTTTAATTGATTAAAAAACAAATTTATGGATTATTATATCACTCCATGCATAACACGGGTTATAAGTTAATCTATATATACATATATTAAGGCCTCGTTTGGGAATATGCTTTTTTTAGTAACTTTTAGCTAAAATATGATGTTAAAAAAATTAGTACGTTTGGGATGACTTTTTGACTTTTTACAAAAAGTTGTGCAAAAAGTAAAGAGAAAAGAGAATCTTTGACTTTTTAGTATAGGTTATTGGCTTTTTTATTTTTTTAGTAACTTTTTGACTTTTTGGCTAAAAGAACCACTTGCCAAACAAGGCCTAAGGACAAAGAATATTTTAATAAAAAGCCTTCTAAGAGTTTCAAACATTCATTCTAAATTCTAATTTTTTGATTTTAAATAATTAAAAACATCTTTTATTGGCTAGCCTTATTGAAGCAAAAATAAATAAATAAATAATATTTCTTAATTTATGACACTCAAATGAAAAGTATATTAATCCATTTCAAAATTCAAATAGAGGGAAAGTATACTAATCCTTCTTCAAATTTAAAAAGAAAGTATGACATTCCTTTTCTTTTATTTTTTTCCTTAGAATTTGAAGGTGGCATCAATGATCATCTTCACATATGGGTCTGATTTATTATTGTTCTGTTGCTAACAGAAACCGAACGAATGTAGAGATTAAGCTTGAATGACGGAGAAAAATAAAAATAAAGATATTTCTTGTGTAAGCTTCATTTTTTTTTTCTTTTTTTTCAAACCATAGAATTGAAGGAGGCATCCATGGTTATTTTCACATATGGGTCTAGTTTATTGTCGTTCTGTTGGTAACGAAGGTCAGATGAACGTGAAGATTAAACTTGAATGAATGTAAAAATAAATAATAAACAAATTTATTCACCAATGAAATCTTAACAATCATCATTTTGAAAGAGAGAGTAGTGTAAACAATATTTATTCTGGTAGAGATGAAACAATAAAGAAGATTTTATGTGAAAGCAGTGAAACATGTTTGTTGTGTAAGCTTTTTTTTTTTTTAATATATTTTTTTTTAAAATGTAAACTCATGCTGATTAGCTAGGTAAAATATATAGTATATTTTACGTATGGAAAACAATTCCTTAAATCATGTGTATTTAAATTTGAATCCCTAAATGATAGGTGTAGTTTAAAATTTCAATTTTTAGTAGCTAATGATATTTTTTTTCTTTTTAAAAAATAATCCAGAATCAACATAATTAGATTAGAGTTTTGAAGCTCCTAGAGCTCTTAAAATTAAAAACTCATTTTTTTTCTTAATATATAGTATAGATAAGTAATTAACATTCGGGAAATTTTTTTTAAGGTCCCTTATATTACGATTTAATAGCATAAAGGATATGAAATATTTTCATAGTAGCTGGGGTCCCGCAAATTTTTACAGAGAAATTTCGATCTAGAGAAATTTTGAGACAGAGAGATATTTATCTAAAATTTCTCCGTGTTTTGAAATTTCTTTGGTTTGCTCAATTTGTCTGTGTTTTCAAATTTTCTTTGTATTTTGAGCCTTCTCTGTTTTGCTCACAATTAGGTTCCTAATTTAGGTTACTTGTTTGATTTTCACTGATTAGTTGTCTCTTTATGTGTAACTTTCCTTTCGAGATGAATTTTCTCTGGCACTAAGATATCCCCTTTAGATTAATTTTATCTGAACACATTGGACTTCCTTTCTCTCTGTACCTTGCTTGATTTTCTCTAGGTAGTTGTCTATTTGATTTTCTCTCAAATTTTCTCTAGCATTTGAATTTTCTTTGTCCACATTAAACTCCCACTAATTTATATTGTTTGTTTGATTTTCACTAGTATGTTGTCTTATTGTGCTGAATTTTCTCTGGCATATGTATTTTCTCTGACCACAGAAGTGTCTAATTTCTTTTTGTGACTTCCTTGATTTTCTTTGTATAGTTGTCTGCTTGTCTGTGTAATTTTCTCTGGTTTTTGAAATTTTTTTAGGGATTTGACATCTTTAATGTTGAATTTTTCGTCCTTGTGTTGAATTTCATGTTGACATCTTTATGTTTTCATTGTTTAGAAATGGCAAAATGCAGTAGCAGCAAAACACCTAAAGCACCACAAAAGAAACAGAAAATCATTCAGTCTTCTAGTTATGAGCTGAGATCAAAATGCAGTGATAGCAAAACAGCGCAAACATCCCAAACAAAATAGAAACTCTTTGTCACTGCCAATTATGAGCTAAGATCTAAAGGCAGTAGCAAAACACCAGAAGCACCGCAAACAAAACAGGAAGTCCACGCCCAAGAGGCAACTAGCATCAAGAAGACACCAATTCCAAGGGAAAAAGAAATTGCAGAGAAAATCCATCTCAAACAAGATCAAGCAAGCAGATAGACTAAACTGAATCCAATGTGTTCAGAGAAAATTGTGATGCCAGAGAAAATTCATCTCAAGGAAAAAATTACACACAAGTGGACAACTAACTAGTGAAAATCAAACGAGCAACATAATTTGATGGGTTAGATAAAATTCAAATGCTAGAAAAATTCAATCAAGGCACATAAGGTAATGTGATTATAATTGTGGTCAGAGAAAATTTAGATTCCAGAGAAAATTCATCATATCGAGGAAACCAACCAGTGAAAATCAAACAGGCAATATAAATTGAAATGCCTGAGAAAATTCATCTCAACCAAACTAATGGCAAAGAAATTGCAGAGAAATTCATCTCAATGAAACTATTAGCTTCAACAAGATCAATCAAGCACACAAAGTAAAGTGAATCTAACGTTATTAGAGAAAATTCAGATATAGGATAAAATTATAGACATAATGACATAACAAGCTTTAAGAAAGATACAAAATGCAATTGAAATCCTAATTAATCTGGATATTATTACAAAATAAAAACCCTAATTAATTGAAGAATATTATAAAATGCAATGAACTCTAGATACAGAGAAAAACTAGTTCGAGAATTAAAACACTTACCATAGTGAGGTGGTGATAATGAAACCCTAATTACGAACAGAGATAACTGAGTTGAAGAAGAACAGATTCAAGGATGAAAGTAAAATGCATCAGAGAAATTTCTGAAAAGAAATCTCAAAGATTTTCGTGGAGACCCTACCTTTGCTAAATATGATTGACAGAGCTGCTATGGCTTTGAAGATGAAGGGACCCATGTGATGCCCCAAAAATCGTGAACTTCAGAGAATATATTATCAATTAAATACAGGGTTTATCTAAGGTTAGGAGTCTAGGAAATGACACTAATGAGTCCTATGGCCAATAACCGAGTAACATCCCAGATCGCCGGAGGAGTCAAGTTAGCCTCCCTTCTAAGTCCAGCTTTTTTAGGTATCGCACTACCCTTTTGACAGATCTTAAAAGGCATTGACACAAGGTCTCATATGCAACGTAGAGATAGGCATAGGATTACAAGGTAAATAATAGTTACAGCGTCTCCAATTTTAAATTTACAAAATGAGTTCCATTACTATTACAATCCAAAAAGAATAAATAAAAGCACAATTAGACTAATGAGCGAAATGGTTTTAAACTTTCTCTAAGGAAAACTTAAGTCTTCAAATGTCTTTGACTCTTCATTGGCTTTGTACGTTTCTTCGATACCTGGTATGAAACGCCATGAGCTTTGAATGCCCAATAAACGCACACACACCCCATCCTTTTTTCCCAATCCAATACACCATCATAATTATAACAAGCAAGTAATGAAGCATGATAATCATTCAATAATAAAGGATTACAAGGTTAGATGTTAGAAATCTAGAAATCCCCCAAAGAGACTTCGTCCTCCCAACCACAAAAATCGGATGCGGATTATTCGGTATGCCCCCTCTTTTGCTACTTTGTTACAGAACTAACCTCGGATGCCTACCAACGGTT